GCAAGCTAACCTACTGGTCAGAGCTTCTGCTTCCTGGTGGTCAGTGTACATCATAGCGACTGGTCAAATGATCCAATGGTTGGATACTTAGCATATTAGGCTTTCTTTATATAGGCTTTTTGGCTAAGTTTTTTAGGGATGAGGCATTCTGACAATAGTCATATGCAAATATTTGGGGAAAAGTGAACTACCCACCACCACCATCATTGTCACTGTCACCATCTAGCCTTGGATATGTTAACTTCCTAGATAGCTGTCATTAACAGTATAAATGGGATCTTTATCTGTTAAAAAGTGGTGATCTGCCAGAGCACATATATATTTTTTTAAATATATTTTTATTGATTTTTTACAGAGAGGAAGGGAGAGAGATAGAGAGCTAGAAACGTCGATGAGAGAGAAACATTGACCAGCTGCCTCTTGCACACCCCCTACCAGGGATGTGCCCGTAACAAATGTACATGCCTTTGACCGGAATCGAACCTGGGACCTTTCAGTCCGCAGACCGACGCTCTACCACTGAGCCAAACCGGTTTCAGCCAGAGCACATATTTTATTGTTGAGTTCAGGCTACTAAGTCTCTGACTATGTGGTTCAACTGTTACCTGTATTTATAAGTCCATTTTAATGAGGATATGACTCAGATAAATGTTGACTTAATTAGTATTCACTGAATCTTAAAAATTGGTATTTATTTGCTATCAGTCAAAAAGAATGTAACATTATCAGAGTATATTGCTGGCTCATCTGTTTGGGTGCTTAGCTTCTGTTGGAAACAACTGCTTGTTTCAAAAGACAAGAGATGTTCTTCCAAGGGGAAAACAGTACATTATTTACATGATACATTTAGAAAACCATAGCAAATAATATTACTATAGGAACTTTTGGCTATGAAGCAATCCCTAACCCTAAACATAAACCTAACCCTAAGCTGAATCCTAACTCAAAACCTAAACATAACTAAATCAAAACCTAACCCTAAAATTAATCTAACTCCAACCCTAACCTTAAACCTAATCTTAAAGTTAACCCTACTATAACCCCAAACCTAACCCCTATCACTAACCATAACCTAACTTTAACCTTAAATATAATTCTAACCCCAACACTAACCCTAACTTTAACCTTAAACCTAATCTTAAAAGAAAACTCTAAACCTAAAGTTAGACAATTTTTCTATCTTTTTATAGTTCAGATAGTTAAAAGGAAGACCTTTTAAAAGGGAGCAGTGAAATTCAAATGTTATTACAAATTAACAACTTTTTTTTTAAATGAATTCTATGTTTGTTCTGTTGTGTGTGTGTGTGTGTTTTAAGTTAAGATAAAAACACTGGCCATATTCTAAAACTCAAACACAGTTTACCCTATAGATAAAATTTTCTTTTAAAAATATTTTTTATCTCAGAGAGGAAGGGAGAAGGATAGAAACATCAATGATGAGAGAGAATCATTGATTGGCTACCCCCTGCTGGCCCCCTACTAGGGATCAAGCCCATAACCTGGGCATGTGCTCTTGGCCAGAATCAAACCCGGGACCCTTTAGTCCTCAGACTGACACAGTACTCACTGGGCCAAACGAGCTAGGGCAATAAAATTTTCTTAATGGAATTTTTGAAGAGAGATCACAGAAATTGAGGATATTTCAGGATTTGACTACTAAAACCTTATTTATGACCTAGGCAAAAGCAAAGGACATTTAAGATAGCAGAAAGCCCAAGCATTAGTCCCAGATTTTTCCACTGGGAAACTTTACAGAGAGAGTTAAGGAAGAAGCTGAAATCAGGGAAATACCTGGGTAAATGAATTTAATGTTTAAAAAAAAATAATATATATATACACACACACACATATATATTAAAATATATTTTATTGATTTTGTACAGAGAGGAAGGGAGAGAGATAGAGAGTTAGAAACATCAATGAGAGAGAGTCATCGATCAGCTGCCTCTTGCACACCCCCTACTGGGAATATGCCTGCAACCAAGGTACATGCCCTTGACTGGAATCGAACCTGGGTCCCTTCAGTCCCCAAGCCAACGCTCTATCCATCGAGCCAAACTGGTCTCCGCTTAAAATATATTTTATTGGGCCGAAACCGGTTTGGCTCAGTGGTAGAGCGTCAGTCTGCGGACTGAAAGGTCCCGGGTTCGATTCCGGTTAAGGGCATGTATCTTGGTTGTGGGCACATCCCTGGTAGGGGGTGTGCAGGAGGCAGCTGGTCGATGTTACTCTGTCATCGACGATTCTAGCTCTCTATCTCTCTCCTTTCCTCTCTGTAAAAAATCAATAAAATATATTAAAATATATTTTATTGATATTTTACAGAGAGGAAGAGAGAGGGATAGAGAGGTAGAAGAGAGAGGGATAGAGAGCTAGAAACATTGATGAGAGAGAAACATCGACCAGCTGCCTCCCGCACACCCCCTACCGGGGATGTGCCCGCAACCAATGTACATGCCCTTGACTGGAATTGAACCTGGGACTTTTCAGTCCGCAGACCGACGCTCTTCCACTGAGTCAAACCGGTTTTGGCTAAATTTAATGTTTTTTAAAAATTGACTTCAGAAAGAAAAAGAGGGATAGAAATATCAATGATGAGAGAACCATTAATCAACTGCCTTGCATGCCTCCTACTGGGGATTGAGCCAGAAACTTGGGCTGGTACCCTAACTGGGAATCCAAACCTGAACTCCTGGTTCATGGGTGGATGCTCAACCATTGAGCCACACTGGTGGGGCTGAGTAAATAAATTTTTTTTTTTCCAGCCTTTCCACCAACACATATTTCCTTTTATTTATTAACTCATCACAAACTACATACTATTGCTTAGGCATAATATTTAGTAGTGATACTATACAGATAAATAAAACAACTCTTGCCTTTTAAACTCACAAAAGAGCAGGGTAAATGGAAATCCACAGACAAACTTAAAAAGTGATAAATATGAATTAAATTCTTTATGTGTGCCAGATTCTATTCTACATGCTGGGAATTTAATAGTTAATGAAATACAAGTGTTCCATTCTCATGAACTCACTAGGTATACCAGTTAATAATGGAGGATTTTGTAATCAAAGAAAACATGATAATTTCAAGAGAAATATCTAAAGTTCTTAATTCAAAGTAATGTCCATCACTAGCTACACATTTTCCCCATCTTTTAGGTAATTTGTGGATACTATCCCAGTAGAACTTTTCTTGTTTTAAAGAAAACCATTCAGAGACCCAATTTTCCACTTCTTCATATGTTTTAAAGTGCTCCTCAGAAAGTTCGTGTGCCATCAATCAAAACAAGTGGAATTCTGAAAGAGCAAGATCTGGTAAATATGGCCGGTAGGTTATGAGTAAATAAATTTTAAAAAAATGTATTTTATTGATTTTTTTACAGAGAGGAAGGGATAGGAATAGAGATCTAGAAACATCAATGATAGAGAAACATCGACCAGCTGCCTCCTGCACACCCCTACCAGGGATGTGCCGCAACCAATGTACATGCCCTTGATGGGTATTGAACCTGGGACCTTTCAGTCCGCAGGCCGACGATCTATCCACTGAGCCAAAATGGTTTCGGCTGAGTAAATAAATTTAAAAGAGCAATGTTACATATTATATAATGATTTCATGATGCAGAAAATGCTATGAATCGAATTCAGGATCTGGAGAAAGATCATAGAAAATAATCAACAGGCCCTCGCTGGTGTTTTCAGTGGTTAGAGCAGATGATGGGAAAGGAAACCAGTCCATGTGTCTCACATCCATGTTTCTCTCTCTTCCCCTCCTTTCCTTCCTTGCTTCCATTCTCTCTGAAGGCTTCATGCCAGTGGGGCCTTGTAAAACATTCTCAGGTGAGGATTTAAGAAAAGTAACCAAGGATAAAAATATATTAAAAATGTATATTATCAGTGGAATGCAACTTTTAAAACTTAGTTTTACTGTGATTGTTAATGAAATGACATACTAATATATGTAGGAGATGCCCTAAGTCAGTGGTCAGCAAACTGTGGCTCTCCAGACACATGTGGCTCTTTGGCCCCTTGAGTTCTTAGCAAAGGCCAGCTTAGGAATACCCTAATTGAATTAATAACAATATACCTACCTATATAGTTTAAGTTTAAAAAATTTGGCTCTCAAAAGGAATTTCAATCGTTGTACTGTTGATATTTGGCTCTGTTGACTAATGACTTTGCCGACCACTGCCCTAGGAGGTTTGTAATCAGACCTTGCCTACTGCAATAATCTTCTGGCATCCTTGCCAGTTCTTTTTAGGCTTCTAAGATTTGAGGATTTCTGGAGATGGGGGATTCAGTGAGTCTCAATGTAAAGCACTAGTCTGAAGCTAGCTCCAGGGAAGCCAGTGCCCCTAATTCCACACCCAAGGTGACTCAGACACTCGCCAACCCTGCATGGTATGGCCTGCACCGTGAAATAAGCACACACACTTTAACATTCGGCTGCTTCTCTGGCAGTGCGAAACGACACTTTGGATCTGGCTGACTCCCTTTACAGGCTCGTCTTCAGGAATACACTAAATCACCCCAGCCAAGTCCATTTAATTGCTCAAGCTCTTCCACGCTTTTTAGACACCATTAAAAGCCTCCACATCTGTTTACAAGGCCCCACTGGCACGAAGCCTTCCCTTTCTCTCTGCCTCTGCTACTTCACTCGGCACTTTGCGATCAAACACAGCGCTTCTTGAACACCTGCATGTAAGCACTCCAGGCTCAGGCTGTGCTCAGTCTGGGAGAGTGGATCCAATGAATGAGAGGCCAGCTGAGCGGCAGGAAGGCTATTTTTAACCCAGAGGCGGTCGGACCCAGAGAGGACCACAGCCCGGGCTCCCGCGGTGCCTCCGTTATTCTCCGCGGCGGACAGGGTGGGCGGGGCCTCGGCGACCCCCTCTGTCCCGGCCCTCGGGCCGGCCTCCAGGTTTCCCGGCAAGCCCCGCGGCAGAGGAGGTGGGGAAAGGAGGTCACCGCGCCTGCGTGCTAGGAGGCATGACCCGGGTGGGAAAGCCCTTCGCGTCCGCCATTTTGGCTGCCTCTGTCGGTCCGTTCAGTTACCACGTGAACCGCCGACGGAGACCCGTGGTGGGTGGGGGGAAGCGGCGGCCGCGTATAAAGTGAGAAAGGGGGAAAAAAAAAAAAAAAAAAAAAAAAAGACAACGAAGGGGAAAGGGGCGTCGCGGTTGGGAGACGCCGGTGACACCCGAGGGCCCGGTCGCGGCGGTGGATCGGGGCATTCAAGGCTGAAGCCGCCAGGGAACGGCGGCGGTCGGACAAACACACTGACCGAGCCGGGCGGTGGCGGGAGCAGCGGGAGGAGCCGGAACGATGCCGGCCGTGAGCCTCCCGCCCAAGGAGAACGCGCTCTTCAAGCGGATCTTGGTGAGTGTGAGGGCTCCGGGCGAGCGGTGTGGGAAAGGTTCCGCCGGCACCCGGGGCCTGTCACCCGTAACCTCGGCCCGACGAGCTCCGGGCCACCCTCGCCCGGGACCCCGCCTTCGTGCTTGTCGTCTGGCGGAGTGAACTCTCTCGTCCACCCCTTCCCTACGGTCCCCACTCTGGCCCGTGCGCCGGGAGGGAGGTCTGAGGCTTCCTCCTCCCGTCCCCTCCTCACTCCGGAGGCTGTGGTCCCCGACTAGGCCCTGTCCTCCCAGCTCCTGGCTCGCCGGTCTCCATATCCCTCCCTGAGCGAAGGGAGCGCAGGCCGCCGGGCCTTGGGGAGCGAAGCCGGCCGCGGGGGCTGGAGCCCCGGCCTGGGCGGTGCGGGGGCCCTGCCGGCCGGCCGGCCGGGGTGGTGCCCCTGGAAGGAACAGGTGGGACGGATGCGGTGCGGCTCATTCATTGCCCGAGCGCGGCTCTTCCTCCGCCGGCTGGCCGTCCCTCCCTCCGCCTCTCCGCTGGGGATTCACCTGTCCCCGCCCGGCCGCCCGGCCGGGAGTCGCTTCGTCGTGACCCGGGAGGTTGGAAGGGGAGGAAGGAGTTTTTAAAAGAGAAAAGGAAGCTTTTTTAAACGACGACTTCCTCTTGGTTAGTTGCATACGTGAGTCTTCAGCATCTTGGCCTTTCTCTCTCTCTTTTTCTCTTTCTTGCTAGAGGAGGGACGGGACATTTATTTCGTAGTTTCTGAGCGGGAAGCAGCCCCACCCCATCACTCTCCTGTGGAGGTGGGGCGCATCGCGTGGGGGCGGCCCGGTCGGAAGTGAAAAGTAGACGAGAGGGTTTTTGCGGTGACTGAAGGGCATTAACACCAATGGAAAAATTTAGCAGCAGAGAATATAAGAACTTTTGAGACGGATCCTTTTTTTTTTTTTTTTTTTTTTTTTTTTTTTTTTAAATATATTTTATTGATTTTGTACAGAGAGGAAGGGAGAGAGATAGAGAGTTAGAAACATCGATGAGAGAGAGTCATCGATCAGCTGCCTCTTGCACACCCCCTACTGGGGATATGCCCGCAACCAAGGTACATGCCCTTGACCGGAATCGAACCCGGGACCCTTCAGTCCCCAAGCCGACGCTCTATCCATTGAGCCAAACCGGTCCCGGCGAGACGGATCCTTTTTTGACATTAGCTCAAACACATTTATTCTCTCTACATTTCGAAAGTGTGCAGTTTTGCTTTTTTTTTTTTTTTTTTCATTGTCCTAAGTGCAATGTTGTTTGGAGGGACGGTTTACCTTGTAAAATACGTTTTGTCGCCTTGGCGCTATAATTAACACATTATAGCACCTTTTTTTTTGTTTGGCATTTAATGTGTGGGTTGCCCCTCTCATGCAAACATTTCTTTGTGAAAGAATTAACTGTATTTGCCAAACTAAAGACTTTCAAAGTTTTTTTTTTTTTTTGGGGGGGAGGGTTGTATGAAAGTGTTTGTTTTCTCTCTTGCGATTTCAGTTTATTTCACTTGTTTGAAAAGTAGGACAACTCTGGGGATCCAGGTTTCCTAGAAATAAGAAAGTAATCCATGTTGAAATAACTTTGATTTTGCAAAAATAATCATATGTAATATATACATTTATGCATATTAAAAAACACCAGAAAGTCACATCAAATACCATGTAACTTTTAGTTTCCTTGACATTCTTATTGCTATTTTTGTTTTGTTTTAGGAGGAATTGGAGTGTCAGAGGGACTATAGTATAGTTTTGCCAGAACAATTTACTTATTTTTAAACCTTTTAAAAGACTAATTGGTGTTTAGGCTTGACTATAACATAGTTTCAGATGAGCAATTTGTCTTTAATCTTCCCCAGTTCTTTATTTTGAAAATTCAAGCTGAAAAGTTGAGAGAAGAGTATGAAGAGCATTTATAAACCCTTTACCTAGATTTAATATTTTGCTATATTTTCTCTCTCTCTCTCTCCCACCCATACTTATAAAAGAGTTAAAAGTAAGTTGCACACATAATAGTTCATTCCTAAATGTTTCAGCACGCATCTCCTAAGAAGGCCATTGTTCTGTAAAACCATAATACTATTATCAATCATTCCCTAATATTGTCTAATACCCAGTTCATATTCAGGTTCTCCCAATTGATAGGGGTAACACTTAAAAAAAAAAATCAAACTTTAGGGTCACATCCAGTTTTAACAAATAATACATTGAGATGCCTTGTACCCATTACCTAGTTTTCTTAATGCTAATACCTTGTAAAACTGTAGTTCAGTATCATAACATTGATACAATCTACCAGTCTTATTCATATTTTTCCTTTTTACTTGTACTGATTGTGTATTTAATTCTGTGCACGCTTATCACGTGTAAATTATATAACTATCACAACAGTCAATATACAGAACAGTTCCATTAGAACCACACCCACTTCCTTCCCATCGTCTCTACCCCCCAAACTCTGGCAACCACTACTAATTTGTTCTTTTTCTATAGTTTTGTCATTTCAAGAATGTTTACTAAAAAGTGCATAACTTTTAGGATTGGCCCTATTTATGTAACATAAAAGATTCATACAAGTTGTTGGGTTTATCAATAATTGTTCCTTGTTATTGCAGACTAGAATCCTATGATATGGATGTACCATAGTTTAATTATTTCATAGGATAACAATTTTTGATTAAGCATCAAAAACTTTTTGGTGGTGATGATAAGAGTGAACATTTAAATTCATTGCTAAAGTTAAAGTACTAAAGGATTTATTGGGATAGGTACATGTAGAAGAAAATTGAAAATCACTACCTGAAAGTAAAGGACATATAATGTCCTTAATATCTTACGTTGGAATGAAGAATGAAGAAAGTAATATTAATAAAAAGTATAATTAGTATTTGTTTTTTCAAAACTGTTTTTGTTTCCTCAGTGTTGTAGTTAGCTCTTTTGACTGTAAGTTTTTCCTCCAAGTAAGATAAAGGAAAAGTTGGGCATACTCTAATGCCTTGTAATCATGGTTCTGGGTTAGTAACTTAAGTCATTTCAGTGGCATTCAGCTTTTAAGCTACTACTTTGTTAGTTGTACCATACGTATCTGTAGTAAAATGTGTAGGAAATGAAATTAATTTGTGTTTTATAATTTCAAAATAATGAAGTATGTGTTTGTCTTAATTTGTCAAAGGAAACCTGGTTTACACATCAGTTTACAAAATGTTGCAGTTTTTTTGTAGTGGATTTGCCTGGCTTATTCTAGTCGACTTCATATCTAAAATTTAATTTTGTTGCGTATTTGGTCCATCCCCACCCCTCCACCCCCAATTGCTGTTTTCTGGCTATAAAACATTGTCATAAATTGGTCAGAATTTCTGCAAAAAGTGTCTTGTATATAATTTGTCTAACAAAAGGGTGGGAATATGAGTTTAATGTGGTATATATTATATATAGGAGTTTAGTTTAAAAAAGAGATACTTGTTTTTGCCAAACTTTTTTTTTTTTTTTTTTTTTGTAATTACACATTATTGTAACAATGTGAAAAACTAAGTCATTAAAAATTATGGCTTTGCATAGCCACTTTCTTAGGATATAGGTGAATGGTAGGAGAGATGAGCTGGTCAGGATAGAACAAAATCCACACTTCTGTAGATTTTAGCCCACTTGGAAAAGTTGGACATATCTCTTGCCTTGTAGTTAAGTGTTGCTAGGTTGGTGACTGGTGCTGCTTTCTTCTCTCTTCACTCTCTATGTGTTAATTTGAGTTGCAAGAAAATCATCTAACTTAGAAGTACTTAAAATATTGTACATTATTTATTTTTGGATTTTTGTCTGAATGATTTATGGTGTTAGTTAAAAGTCTAAAGAATAGAATTTTCCTTCCTAGAAAAGTGGTAAGAGAAGTTAGCATAGCATGGCGGTAATGTTTGTGATTTACTGAAAATTTACAATTTGTACTGTAGAATACAACATTCTGTGGAGATGGAAATGTTCTGTGTCTGCTCTGTCCACTGTGAGAGCCATTAGCTACATTTGGCTGTTGTACACTTGAAATATGGCTAATGGGATTGAGAAACTGAATTTTTAATTTTAATGAATTTAAATTCAATTAGCCACATGTGGAGGGTTATCATTTTGGACAGTTAAAAGACAGTGCCCACAGAAGCAGACATGGTGCCCTGAACGATTGCTGGACAGAAAGCTACTGGCCAACTGGCCTTAACTGAAGGGATTTCTTTACTTAGTCTGCATTCTTTTTTTTTCTTCTTTTTTAAAATATTTTATTGATTTCTTTTTTTCTTTTTCTTTTTTTAAAGGTATTTTATTGATTTTTACAGAGAGGAAGAGAGAGGGATAGAGAGAAACATCGATGAGAGAGGATCATCGATCAGCTGCCTCTTGCACACCCCCTACTGGGGATGTGCCCGCAGCGCAGGTACATGCCCCTGACCAGAATCGAACCCGGGACCTTTCAGTCTGCAGGCCTATGCTCTATCCTCTGAGCCAAACCGGTTGAGCCAAACCGGTCTCGGCTATTTTATTGATTTCTTACAGAGTGGGAGAGAGAGGAATAGAGAGTTAGAAACATCGATGAGAGAGAATCATCGATCAGCTGCCTCTTGCATACTGGGGATGTGCCTGCAACCAAGGTACATGCCCTTGACCGGAATCTAACCCGGGACCTTTCAGTCCACAGGCGACGCTCTATCCACTGAGCCAAACCGGTTTCAGCTACTTAGTCTGCATTCTTATTCCCTTTAATAATTGTGCTTCTGAAAACATACCGTATTTTTCGGACCATAAGACGCTCCGGACCATAAGATGCACCAGTTTTTAGAGAAGGGAAATGAAGAAAAAAAGATTCTGAAACAAATAGTGTCCTAAAATATTTTATGTGCATTAAAACCCAACATCACAGTCATAAACACATGTAATCAACCCTGTAGAGTAGGGGTGTCGAACTCAATCAGAGAAGGGGCCAAAATCTAAAATCCAGCCTAAATCACGGGC